TGGGCAGCACGGAGTTCATCGAGAGAGCTATGGCTGCTTGAATGAGAAATATGAGGCGGCATGGAGTCACCGGTGAAAGGCAAGCGGGTGATTTGGTCGTTGATGAGCTTGCGGGTGCTCTTCTTCTTGAAAACTCGGCATATCACCCATCCGTCCTCTTGGGCAAACTGGTTTTCAGTTGCCATGCCCGGGGCCTATATCAGAGGTATATATGCGCCAAGTACTCGGATAAGTTGGTCGGGCATCTGTTTGTTAGTTGTAAGTCCCCTCTGGTCTGGTGTTTGATTTTACACGAGTGTAAGGAGTGGTGCTCGAATTAATGGGTGCATGAGAGATGGCTACATTGTAAGGAGCACATGTAACTTATAATTTAACCGTAGGAACACACAATTTAAGGTTTTTTGTTTTTTTCATGAGAAAACCTAGTCTCAGGCGTAGCCTCCCATTCCTCCCATGCCCAGTCACATTACTTCATAAGTAGTATTTTTTTATGAAACAGCAAAATAATGCAAACTTCATACTCTCATAAAGGCGAAATAATTTTTGGCATATATATATATATATATATATATATATAATGTTTAAGAAAAATAAGAAGGGATATATATGTATATATATACATTGGATTGGCAGTCAGATCCATGGAGCTCATGCTCATCAAGGCGATACTCATGCATGATCCAATCAGACTTCTCTCCACGAGGCGCCCTACCTCTGTAAAAAACCAGCGTCTTCCTCATCCCAATCCTCTTAAAGCAGCAGGCATTGATAACCTTATCCCTACCAGTAGCCTTCCAAAATCCAGCAGCCGTGGCCCTATTAGTTCTCGTTCCAGTCGGATACTTCTTATCCTTGTGACTGAAGAAATACCAATCATTCTCATCCCTCGATCCAATTCTGCATTTCTCTATCATAATCCAACCATAAACTAAAAATAATAAAGAAGAGATTATGAATATATGTTGGTTAATTAATATGTACCTTGAATGTCCCAAGGTTCGAGTTTATTGAGATCAATTTCATGGATAACATTGAGGTCTATGTTCTCTGATGCTACCTTCTTTTTAAGGTAATAGGCGAGGAGTTCTTCTTCTGTGGGGTGGAAGCGGAAGCAAGGAGGAACTTTCGAGAGGCCATTGATGGAGATGCTCATGGTGGCATCAATGTGTCTGAGAGGTAACCGACTTGTTAAAGAGAAGAGGGGAAGATTGTAGGGAATGGTTGGGTGATATGAAGAAGGGTGGAAGGTAAAGGTGTGGGGGTTGAGATGGGGAGGGACGTGAGAGGTGGCTGATATTTATAGTGTTAGGTATGTCTCATGTATCAGATAAGGGACAAATGCTAGAGCAGAACGGAACGAGTCATCGGAGCAGAGCGAGCGAGCGGGATTGAGCGGAAGCATCTGTCCAATCGAGAGGGTTTCGTTATTTGGGTTAGAGGTGCGAGGGTAACACCCCCGTGGTACGGTACATGAATAATTTTGTAATTACATATTGTACGATGGGATTATGTGTGTGTGTGTGTGTGTGTTTTATCGTAACCCTAAAGAGGATTTATACTATTTCCCGTGAAATCTAAAGAAGACGCTGCTCTTCTCCCGATGACATAGGCAAATTGTCGTAATAATAAAAATTATAAGTAAATGTTATTAACTATTAAGTTTAGTTAAATTTCAAAAGAAATTGATTAAAAACAATGAATGTAATTAGCTGCAGTTTGTAATTAGCCACCACACCATTTGGTTAATCGAGTAATTAGCAAGATGGTACAATTTATGAAGAGATGAATTCGAGAAGAGAAGAGAAGTGAGTGAGAGAGAGAGAGAGAGAGGATGACAGCGGACCTTGAAAATCTCTTATGCGAGCAGAGAAGACAAAACCCGACCATTTTAGTCACATCGGTGAGCTGTTCTTGTTTAACGACCGCAACCACGACGGTAGCAAGAGCAACAGCGGCAAAACGAGACGATGGATTTACAAAGGGAGAAGGAAAAGGATAGGTGATGGATGGAGTCGGAGGGGATGAGCTTTCTTGGGATCCACCACCTTGAAAAACTAATGAGAAGAATTAACTTAATTTTGATTTGATAAATATATCATTACATAAATAACTTTCAAGTTCTTGCTATTTATAAAAATAATATCTCATGTCTATGTCTAGGTTCCGCTTTAGGTTCCTCCATCTTTTAAGACAATTCATTTTCTTATGAAGAATATAGTCTTATTATAATTTTTAGAATGGAATTATGATTATTTTCTCATATTAACTATTATTATTATTGAGGAATTAAGACAAAGAAAGCGCGAGAATCATTTAAAATCAAAAAGAAAATACAAAGATTTAACGAGATTCGGCAATTTGCCTAGGTCATCGGGAGTAGAGCGCGACTTCTTTAGATTTCACGAAAAAGAATACAAATCTCCCTTTAGGGTCACAATACAAAATAAATATAGAACTCACGCGTACAATATGTAATTACAAAATTACTCATATACCGTACCGCAGGGGGCGTTACCCACACATTCCCAACAAACATAACGAAACTCCCCCGATTAGACAGATTATTTCACTTTGCTCTGCCCACTCGCTCTGTTCCGCTCCAACATCTATCTCTTATCTGGTATATGAGCCATACGTAACAATTATTTTGATCATAAAGTCGTTATATTGTATGTAAATAATTTAATGACCTAAAAAATTACATAATATTAAATTTGTTAGTTTTTTTTTTTAAATTAATAAGTTCTTTGATTTGACTGTAAAGATATGAGATTCAAAGATCATTTGAGCATTCAGTTCTTTCTTGGTACCTAACAATGATTGAAATTTAAAGTTAATCAACTAGTGTTGTCCAAGAATCCTCTTATTGGTTCTTGAGTATCCGCTCCTATCATGAAAATAATTGAGCCAACAATGTGTCTATTGTTACTTGACTGTCAACATTTTCTATTGATCTTCATTTGATATTTATTTATGGTTGACATTTAATACATCAAAATAATAACCAAGTCTACTATTGACTTTTGTCCAGCTTGTAACATTTCTCAATGCCCGTAAACAAATGATGCACATAATTTATCCATCATTTTCACCTAAAGTGTGCCCATTTTCTCGATCGATTAGATATTTTCTTCTTTTAATATAATGATTGAATCAAATATCACCTTATATATATGATTGATTGATGGTCATCATTATCTTCCACATCATATGATGCAAGCTTTCTTAAAAACTTGTTCTTCATTTTATATTATCAGAATGATTGAATTGATTTTCGTTCAACCTCTAATGTTCATCACTTATCGACTTCCTAATTATTAGTTGCTTAATCTCCCTTTTTTTGAAAGAACAATTACACCAACCAAGGGTTGAATGTTAACCAACTCTCAACATTCAATATTGATTGTCATCCAACATCTGCCATTAATCTGCATATGAGATTCATCTTCCTGGTTGATTATTCTTCTTTTATATTAGGAAAACGATGTTATTATTGACTTTTGTCTGTATTTCATTGTTTTCCAAAACTTACGAATAGCTGACAGCCATTATTAATTAATTGTAATCATTTTTACTATTCTTTTAGGTTAACTGGTCTCTTATTCAATCAACAGAACTCTCAGGTCAACCATTATCTAATGCATATATCATTAATCAACGATTGATTTTTGTTGGCCACCATATATCATATGACAAGTGCTTTCCTAATCACCATTACAACCCATTTATTAAGAGAAACTCATCTGATCAATGTCTAACCTCCGACAGTTCTCATCTGGCCTTAGGCTTGCTCTTTTACTTAATATGCTATCACCAACAAATGATTGACGTCAATTGCTTGCCTTGTGGTTGCCAACATTGCTAAATAGGCACCACCAATTGATAATAAATTGGAAAATTAAATTACCATAACATGCATTCTTAAATATTCAGGAATGGCATAATTGGTCATGCCATCATAATTACTTTAATTGTCATTCGATAAAGCTTAATTATTCTTCAAATCGGTGTAATTCTTACGAGATGAAAGTGAATGACAAATTGAAATCATGAAATTTTTTTAATCTAAAATTGTCTCTGAAATCACACCATCAAGTTGTGAAGATTCAAGTGAGAAAAGATAAGAGAGAGAGATTATAAAAAAAAAGTTATCAGAGTTTATTAATAGTAAGATAATGTGCATGTGGATTCCGAGTACAACAATGTTGCATAGGGGCGGAATCAACTTCTCTTTCGAGGGGCGGCAAACTGCCCCTCTAGACCAAATATGGAAGGGACTAGTGCAATGAAGAACAAAATGATATTTCATGAGGGGCAAAGGACTAAATTGTCCTCCAACATAAGTAAAAATCTGAATTTGAGATTGAGCAATTGCCCTCTGCGCCCTTCTTAGGTCCGCCTCTGTTGTTGTACACTATTGTACACATGCACAATAATGTTGGACGTAAAATTCGCATGCATATGGACTCCATGCAACATATTCTCTTAGTCAAAGGACAATTCCCCTACCCTAAGAAACTCTGTCATTATTTATATGATTTACGGCCTTATGGTATATAGAGTTGTCAAAACGGCTCTTTTTTCACAAACAGCTCGTGTTTGGCTCGTTAAGAAGCTCGTGTTCTGCCGTTTACTAAGTTAACAAGCCGAACACGAACAACACGAACAAATATTTGTTCGTTCGTGTTCGACTCATTTTGGCTCGAAATACTACTAATAAATTATATAATTTTGATGAGTAGTAGTTTTAAAAAATCTAACTGACTGCAATGTTGCAAAGATTTATAATCAATTAAAAGTATTAATTAAGAAACTAGAATAAAAAATATTAATTTAGATTCAAATTAATTTAGATTCAAATGATAAATTCAAATGATAATTTAAATCTTGCCACAATCCTTAACATCTTATGGCTACGTGATTAGGGTTGTCAAAACGACTCTTTGTTCGTGAACGGCTCGTATTCGGCTGGCTAAGCAAATGAGCCGAACACGAAAGCACTTTTTTAGCTCGAAATATAAACGAGCCGAACACGAGTTGAGCCTAGGCTCACTAGTGTTCGGCTCGTTTACACCCCTAATGGTATATTTGCCTGCTACAAAGCAATCCTTTTGAGTAACAGGTGCTACGTACAGTGCGTGCCGAACTAACACAATCGAATTACTCAAGTTGATAGAAGACGGCCAACCATTTAACTCTCCCGAGTTCGTTTTATACCAAGGAGGCCCAAGTTATCTACTGAGAGCATTAATTAGTTCTGAAATGGAGCTAGATTAATGTGAATTCTAGCTTAGGTTCAATATACGAGGAAGTCGTCTAAACAAAAGTTGTTCATCTAACTATGAATTTTTTGCCATTTATTTGCTCAAAATGTCACTTAAATATTAAATCATGAAATCAATTTCCACAAAATATATTCTACTCTTTCACCTGCATGGGCGCATGTTGAAATCAATTTCCACAAAATATATTCTACTCTTTCACCTGCATGGGCGCATGTTTTCATGTAAATTTGTTTGTTGTGAAGTTCTATTAACCCTCGTTGATATATGATACAAGTTCATATGATTGAAGTTTCATTGAATCTCCTTGTGTGTGAACTTTTACTCCCCCTTTATATAGAATCATTTTACAGGGTCATGATAAATACTCAAATTATTTGGAATATGTGACTAATCCAATTTTTCCTTTTGCCATCCTGAATACACACACACACACATACACACACACACACACACACATATATGTATGTATTGGTCGAACTCTAGCTGCTTTGAACAAAGATATTTTGGCTTTACAACCCTCACAGCCCTCACAGCTAATTTTGCAATGTTTTTATACGTTCCTTTGGGTATTTTTTCTTGGATTGGTATACTTGTCTTTATGAAGATGTTATAACTTTTTGTCTTTTCTTTCTTTGTTTCTTTGTGTGGAATTGTACTGTGGAATGAGAAATCCTTAGGATGTTATGTATTTCTTTTTGTTTTTAGTGGAGATCTTCTTTCCCTCCCTATTTTTGTAACTTATTTTCTATCAACGTGTAAG